TAATAATAGAAACAAATAATACAACAACGTTGTGTCAAAAAACACGATCACAACATAGTCAAATGAAAAGGAGCAGAAAGAAAAATATATAACATATGCCCCCAATTAAAAAAATATATGTATCAAAAAAACGTACAACATACAAATAATAAAACTAACAATTAATAAAAGAACAAACTAATAATACAACATCATTGTGTCAAAAAGACAATCACAACATAGTTAAATGAAAAGGAGCAGAAAGAAGAATAAAATCTTATATCTGCCCCCAATTTAAAAAATATATGTATCTAAAAAAACGTACAACATACAAGTAATAAAACTAAACTTAATACACAATATAATTTCAAATAATCAACAGCATCACAACACAAATACAAATCTTAACCAATATTTTCTTAGCTCGCTAGCAGCCTCACACCGAGGACCTGCTGATGTCATCATTTACCCAGAATGCTTTGTGAGTAAATAAAATGGCTCAGTCCTTGTTAAAATATATTTTTAAAAATTTAGTTTAAAAATGATAAAATCAGTATTTTTAGTCTTTATTTTACAGTTAAAATAAACGTTTATCAAATAAAATCTAACGTTACAACTAATCGTGGATCCCTCTAACATAAACAACCAAAAATGTACCACTACAACAGAAACTGAAGTGGACGTCCACATTTTAACGTGTAAAAAGACGTTTTTACGAACCTGAAAGGAGCACATGAGCGTCTCGTCCACGCTCATCATGGCACCAGCGTTGTCGAACTCTCCGCAGTAGTTGGGAGCAGAGAAAAGAGTGACGAGCTGCCTCTTAGCAAAAAACTCATAACCGTCTTCCACCACCTTCAAAGAGAGAAAGTTTAACAAAACAAGACGAGTTATAATCMGAGACTTGATCCTGAATTAAATAAATAATGTTCTGGAGGTGAACTGAGATCAATAAACTGCACTTTCTGCACTAAAACCAGAGTTTGGAAAAACATCAGCCACACGTTTCCAGAGGAGGAAGATTTTATGAATCTGAAAAGCAGAGTTTTGTTTCTCACCTTGAAGCTACGGTGGAACATAATGTTTCCACACACTCACTGCTGGAAACACTGAACAATGCAGAACATCCAGAGAAATGACTGGACTGAACAAAACGTGACTTTATTTGTTGATCAGAACACGGTGAGGTTRAAACAGAAGCAATGATTTGGTGCACAAGTCTTAGAGCTGCTGCAGATTTTTGTTTCAAACATCGACCACTAGAGGTCAGACGTTTCGTTGATTCCATTATTAAAATATGTGAGTAACATAACAACCCTGTGAGTCATTTTCATGAGGTGGTTTAACGCTTACAAAGAGGCAAAGAAGATGGACTTTTGTGGTTTAAATGATTGTGAGAACTGCAGCTCAGTTTCTAACATGAGCTTTAATATTATAAATATTTTTAAATGCAACGTTTTGACTCGAAAAATTCAGTCTTTGAATGAAAACAGACAGCTACAGTTAAAGGACTGATAGAGGAAACAAAACAGTCTGGTTCTGCTTGGTTTGAACAGCAGAATAATACGATATATAAAGCTGATATTTATCATGAACTAAAACGGACTCCATCACAGAGAGAACACAGGCTTTTGAAGGACAATAATATTAAATTAAACAGGTATAGCTCTCTTAGTGTTAATMTTGTTTAATTCCAGTTATACAAAGACAGGCTGCCCCGGCAGCTAATCAAATTGTGGCACACCTGTCTCATTTTCTCCCAGTAAACACACACCTGTTGGTCAGATGTTGTTACCCAGGTCACTGTTATAAAAGTCGTCAGACTCCAGCTCCTCTCTGCTCCTCCTGTTTGCTGCGGTTCAGCTAACCTGAGCTAACTTTAGCATCCACTGTGCAGCCGGCTCAGTTCAGCTAACCTGAGCTAACTTTAGCATCCACTGTGCAGCCGGCTCAGTTCAGCTAACCTGAGCTAACTTTAGCATCCACTGTGCAGCCAGCTCGTCTCTCAGGTGGAGGAATCGGTAAACATCCTCCTGAAAGGTTTTCTTCTCTGAAAGCATTTTAAAAAAATCTGATCTAACAAATAAATTCATTTATTTTGAGCTTTGCTCCAACATCTTGAGATGGATCTGAATTAAATGTTTTGCTGAATATCAAAGTCCCACAAACACCTGATTTCTGATTGGCTGGAAGGCCTGTCAGGTGTGGTTGAGAGGGAAAGATGTGAGATTGAATTTGTTTATTTTTCTCAGCCTGTTACTGAAAATATGGATGGAGGACAACAGAGCTGCTTCATGGAAGAAGATCCTCAGCTTAGCCTGTTAGCTTT